CTCTTTTTGTTTGTTTGGTACTGAACCCAAGGGTGCTATTCCACTGACCTACATACCCAGCCCTTTTGTTTTTGAAATTTGGAAACAGTCTCTTGCTAAGTAGTTGCCCATGTTGGTCTCAAACTTTGGATCCTTATTGCCTCAGCTCCCCAGTAGCTGGGATTACAGGCATGCAACACTGTGCCCAACTATTCCACTGTGCTTATTTGTTGTGTAATGAAGGTTATTCTTCTTCAATAGGTCAAATTACTCTAGACCTTTGAGTTTCATTCTGATAATGAGATTCAGAGACATACCAAAATTGATATGCAGGTTAAAGGCACTGGGATATTTTCATTGGCTAAATATTTTCAGAGGCCAGGGGAAATATATCTTTACTCTGAAACTACCTAGTATCACCAAATTTTATTACAATTTGCCAATTTTCAAAGTAAAATAAAAATCTTTCATATTAAATAGTCAATATTTTGATTTGTTTCAGGTTTGTGATTTGAGTTTAGTACTTTGCTCTATGCGAAGAAGTAACCCAGACACTGATGTGCTACTAAGAGAGTATGATCTCATATTGCTCCCATGTGTTGGAGTGGTTAATTGAAGTTTCCAAATGGCTATGAAGATGAGTAATCCATTTTTAAAGATAGTTTCTCATGGATAATCTTCTTACTAGTCTCTGAATCATAAGAAAATGCACCTGTTTTATAGGAAGATAGATTGAGGGTTTGAGAACCTTAGAAATTGGAAAACAAGAGATAATGAAATACAATTGAGGTCAAATGATTTCTGCTGAATGTTTCCCCACAACAATAATATACCACTGCACATAAAATGTAATTTTTAAATGATCTCTATTCCCAGATAGCCATAATTTTCATCATTGAGTTATTTTGTAAAACTTTAATGAGTCTACCACTATTTTAACAAAACTAGCAAAATCCAGCATATTTACTACAAAAGTCAATATTGACTTTTAACATGGAAATGCAATGATTTATATTTGAGAAGAGTTTTTAATAATTGTTTGCATAATAAATTGTCATGTATATGTTAGTATTTCAGATTTCTCATTTGCAATAGCGGAAGAACTATTAGAAAGAGCTACTAGAACTATCTAGAATTAACTCAGAATTAGTATTTTTGTTACTCAATAATTATTAAAATCAAGCAATAGAACTATCAAAAATAAAAACACTCATATGAGTACTGTGCTCCTTATTTATAAATCATTTACTCATAATAGACAATATGTTAAATATTAATATATAAATAATTTAACTCCTATAAAAATGCTGTGATATTGTATTACTATACCCATTTTACATAGGGGGAAACCAAGGCCTCAGTCACATACTTCTGAGTCATATAGTAGTAAACAGTACAAGAAGGATCCAACTAAATCCAGTCTGATGCTAATGTCAATGCTCTTAGCAACCATTCTTTATAGCAATTCTACTACATCTGGAAAGTCCCAAACTACAAAGAAATGTTTTAAAGTCCTTCATTCTTTCTGTCAGTTTGTCTTATAACTCCTCATGCATGGGATTTGTGAACTTGCTTGCTTAAAAACAAAAATCGAAACAAAGATCTGTGTCCTAACCCAGATCTTTGGAATGAGATTCTCCAGAGGCCATGTCTGATAATCTGCATACTTAACAAGAAACTTCAGATAATTTAGGAAATTCTGTCTGGTCCTAGATTTTATTGTGCTCTCTTTCTCACCCCCCCTCCGCCCCTTTGGTATTAGGGATTGAACCTAGGGGTACTCTTCCACTGAGGTACATCCCTATTCCTTTTTATTTTTTTTATTTTGAGACAGGGTCTCCCTAATTTGCCCAGGCTGTCCTGAAACTTAAATCCGCCTGCCTCAGCCTCCAAAGTCATTGGGATTACAGGTGTCATGAACCTTGTTCCTTTTATTTTCTTAATAAATTTTATTTCATATATTTAAAATATAAAACATGATATGCTGAGATACATATAGATAATAAATTGGGTCCCCTTCTTTGCTCTTTTGAACACAGATTTCCAGGCAGCATTGATCACAAATGGTGAGCTCCTCAATTTTGAGCCACAGGTACTTATTGCAGGCACCCAGGATCAGTCCTTTCAGCAACTGCTAGAGTTTCCAGATTCCCTGTGCTGTTTCCACCACTCAAGCAGTATTTTTTAGACAAAGTGCCTATTAGATGTGTAGTACAATACCAAGCACTGTGAAGAGTACCCACGTTTAAAGGCCAAGGAAAACTCTAGTCCTAAGAAAGGAATACTTAAGTGCATCTTTACAGACAAGCATCTACAGAAGAGAAATTAGAACAAGATATAGTCCATGCTTGTGCAATTATGTCAAAATGGATTCTACTGTCATGTATAACTAAAAAGAACCAATAAGAAAGAGAAATGATTCTCAAATCAAGGATCTTTTAAAGATGTTGAAATTAATTACTTCTGTAATGGGGAGGGGTGAAAATCAAATAACCACCCTTATTTAAGATAATTTTCCCCATAAGTTCTATCTTCAGCATAAAGTTTTATTGCCTTAACCCAATTCTCTGAATTAAGTACTCACTGGATAAGGGGTGAGGGGGTAGAAAGTTATTTTTAAACATATACTTACTCCAATAGTGTGTCTTTAAACATGAACCACATATAAAACAAAGAAATAAAAACCAAATACTCTACTGAATTTCTTATTGTAATTGTTTCCTGCTACCAGAGGGATTCACTTGAGATGTAGTTTCCTTTGTAGTCACTAATATTTTCTACATTCTTCTCAAAGGAAGAAAAAAGACCTAACTTCTCAGGTTTCCTTTGAATGTTTTTTCTTAGTTATCTTTTGCAGTTGGGAATCATGTTACTTTCTTTAACATCCTGTGTACATTATTCTAACATGTTAAAGACATTATAGCAGTGATGTTAATGTGCATATTCTATTTTAATATTGAATCAAATAATATATTCTAAACTATATACAGATCCTTCATAAGTTTATAGCTAAATTCAGTTGAAATGAGAGCATCTGCATTCATCAAGTAGTTTCTGGATTTGATCATTTGTACCCAATTTCCACTGAAATCCAGGCTTAGGGAGCAAGCATTCCATATGGATATCTTAAGGCTGAATTAGCTTTGGAGCTGAGTTTAAAATTGCAGGGGGAAACTCTATGTTGATTTCAATGTCTGCTGCATGCATAGCAGAATGGCTATTATTTATAAAACATCAGGATACCAAGGTATGAAAACTTTAAAACATAAAGTGAAACATATTTCATTGACTGATCTGATAGACAATCAAGGTCCCTGTCACAATTGCCTAGAGACAGACACACCTTTTCATGTCCTATATTCATCCTGGCTACTTTTACTCCCTCTGAAGGGCTTTTGAACTTGGATTTGACATCTCTTAAATTTATGCTTTTTCTAAATGGAAAGGGGTTTTTTTTTTCTTACAGTTTTAGCCTCACGTAGAGTTCAAGTCTAACTTAGATTAAAGAGAAATAGTCTAGGCCTTAGAAATTTAATGTTTGTTCTTGATCTTTTTTTTTTCTTTTGTTTTTATGAGGTTGAGCTAAAAACCCCAAAGTGGGGCATAATGGCTTTAGAGACAGGAAGGAAATATTCTTTATTCTTTCTTCTAGTGTAAAAAGCCCACAAGGCTCTTTTGTAGAAAGCCCGCAGTAGAAGCACTCCCTCAAAAGCCACCTTTTTCTTCTTAATAGCCTCGGAAGAGACAGTGTTGAGAAAGATGACAGCACCAGGCATTGCTAATGTTAGACCCAGAAACAAGCTAAATGGTTTATGGCCAAAACCCTTGTTTACTACAGTCACTTGTCAAAATAGGGAATTTTTTCCACCAATAAAATGTTTTAAAGGTCATTGCCTCTCAAATTGCACAATAAACAAGTCATCACCAGAAAGGGGGAAAAATTGTGGGAAATAATAATTTTGATGTCAGAGAGAAAGGAAGAAAGTAATGATGAGGAAATGCCTGTGTTGTGGATACCACAGAGGTGACAGTAACGTCTCTGACTTTCAAAAACTTGAAGTCTGCTGGGCGCAGTGGCACATGTCTATAAAACATCTCAGTGGCTCCGGAGGCTGAAGTGAGAGGGTTGCAAATTCAAAGCCACCCTCAGCAATTTAGAAAGGCCTTACGCAACTTAGGGAAAACCTGTCTCAAAATTTTTTTTAAAAAATCTGGGGATGTAGCTCAGTGGTGAAGCGCTCCTGGGTTCAATCTCTGGTACCAAAACATCAAAATAAACCAAGTAACCAAAATACCATTAAAAAACAAACAAACAACAACAACAACAAAAAAAAACTTGAAGCCTTTAAATCCCTATCCACCAAATAATAAGGAGTGAAATTGACCAAATTATATTGTTATGTTGTGTGCACATAGGAATATAGGAATATGTAACAATGAATTCCACTGTTATGTATAATTATAATGCACAATAAATATGCATGTACAAAAAACAGCAAAAATAATAAATCTTTATAAAAATTAGCAAAGTACAAATGCAAATCATTCATCCAACAAATATTGAATGTCTGTTAGATCACAGGAACTATGTGCTCAGAATAAAGATGGCAAAGTCCCTATTGTACAGATGGATCTTACATTCTAAAGGGCAATAGATCCATCCATGTTTATGCTATAGATTGCACAGACCCTTGAAAGCACATCATCTGAAGTAATGAAGATGTGTTTTCCTCCAAAGACAATGTTTTCACAGCAATAGCTGTCATGTAATTAAAGATTAGAAATATACTATGTTTAAGGACCCAGAGAATAAAACACCATCTTCTCTGACCCAAGATAGAACTCTTCATAATTTCGAAAATGTAATTCATTCTTCTTTAATAAACACTTACATAATATATAATGGTGCCCATAGGTAAAGCAATGCTTTCTTAAATATGTTTGACATAAAATTCTCTTCAAAATCAACATCATATTTCACATGATAAAACAACCACAATGACGAGCTCCCTGGTGCCTACCTTGAACAGTCAGAGTGGCTGATGCTTCAGCTTTTCCAACCATATTTTCTGCAACACAAGTATATGATCCCATGTCACCAGCCATCACCTTCCGAATTTTCAAGGTATGATCATCTCGGATTTCATATCTAATATCGCAGCAAAAACAGCATGGTTAAGGATTTTGTTCTTGAAAGATCCCATTTTTACACTATGATGTATCCAGGCATCAAATCACATGCAACAATCCCTTCAGAAATTCAAAACAAAGTAGAGGCTGTGATGTTCCTCTAAGTTAGCAGCAGAAGAAATGAGCTTGTTTTCACATGTATATGAGGTAACATTAAAATATTTTCTTAAAAGAAAATTTGAGTAAAGTTAACATTTATACATCTATTTCCTCAAGCTGTGGTACTCACACTAAAATTAAATGACACTGAAAATTAATTAAATTTTTATCATGTGCTGGACTTTAAGTGATCTATAGATTTTACCTTCTTAAATTCTTATAATAATTTTATAAGATAAGTATTAACCTTATCTTCATTTTGTAGGTGAGGAAACTGAGAAACAGGAAAGTAAGGTTACTTGGCCTTGGTCCTCAGGGAATTTCAGGGTAGAGCTAAAATTTGAACCCAGATAGTCTTCTAGAGTTCACTTGATTTGTCTAGACTTCCCTGCCCTTAAAAAGAGGGTTTCTTGATATAAAATTTTCTCTATATAAAATTTTCCTGAATTATATTGTCTGATACAGTTTATATATTGATAGACCAGATACTTCCCACACTCCAAGTAAATCCCTCATTCGTATTCCCAACTTACTAACAATTAGACATCACATTTCAAGGGACCCTAATATTTAATATGTTCAATAATTCCTTTCTTCTCTTAACATAATCCTCCTCCTCCTTCTACCCCAATCTGCCTATCTTCCTTCATCAACTCTCTATATCTAACTAGTCATCCAGTTTGCCACTGTAGTCTCAGAAATTTCTCTCCACTCTGTACATTATCTCCATCTCTCCAGGCTAAACACTATACAACTCTGATTTGTACAACCAAATAATGGTGTCCCTATAAAAGGCCTCTCCTCATAGTAATGAAACATACATCATGCTAACAAAATTATGTTATTCTAAAAAGTAATTCTGCTCATAATAATATTTCTTGACTCATCAATGTCATACAATACGATGTGAGATTTATTATTACACAAAGCCCCTGATAATATGTCCCCAGTATTTCCAATATGATATCCATTACTTCTCACCACATATATTATGTGCTAGTGATGCTCAACTTTCTACCATTCAAAATATGTGGTGTTCTTTCTCACATTCGTGTCTATGTTGTAAGGATCTTCTGTCTGGAACACAGGACTCTTTTTTTTTTTCTTGCTTATCATATTGGTACATATTTTTGAAGACTGTGCTTATCTGTCCTATTCCATGGGAATTCTCCTTATTCTTTCTCCCTACAGTTGCATAGGTCTGCCTTTATGTCACAAAAGGGAATAATGATGTTATTCCGTATCTACCCATATATGTGTCTTTTTGCAAGCTCCTGGAGAGCAGATGCCCTCTCTATGCCAATGTTGTAACCCCAACACCTAGCAGGTATTCAATGCATGCATGCTGACAGCCAGCTGGCAAACCCAAATGCTTTATTCCACTGTCTCATTCCCCAAAGCTTGGTATTTCCTAAATCGCTGCTCCTAGACAATTTAAGGCCTTATCAGATACTAAGAAACTCAGACCTCTTCTACCATTCCTTGGTGACACATAGCTGAGGAAAGGAAAGTCTGATTTTTAATTGGTTCATAATTCTGTCATTAATGCTGTATGTTTCTTCCTTTTCCTACCTGGCCATATACAAGAAGTTGGTATTAAATGTGATTTGGCTGAGCAGGAAAGAAACTGTTTATAGAATACCATGTTTTACCAGGATTCCTTGAGCAAACCTGGGTCGCAAAAATATAATCCAACCCCAGAGAAAATATGGAAACCTCCTGGTTCAAAGTATCTCTAGTATTCTATACTGGCCCCTGATCAAGGAGTCTACAGATGCTCCTCAATCTTTGACAGGGATGTGTCTTTGAAAACCTATCATAAATTGAAATACCAAGAATACAAAACTGCATTTTATTCACCTAGCCCACTGAAGACCCCCACTTGGCAACACAGTACACAAAAGTATTGGTTCTTTCCCTTCCTGGTCACAAAGCCAACTGAAAGCTATGGCTCACCACTGCAGCTAGCATAAAGTATCAAACCACATATCACAAGCCTGGGAAAGATCCAGATTTGAAGTATGGTATCTACAGAGTGAATATAGCTTTCATACTGTCTTAAAGTAGAACATTTTAAATCAAACCTTAGCAGTCAAAGACCATCTATAGAGTTGACCATCTAACGGCACCTAGAGTCTGATGAGAAACAGAAATTCTAAGTCGATGAATCACATCATTCAATTCTGATCTGTACCTGGATTTGGGCAACTCTCCATCATCTTTCCTCCACCGGACTGTAGGCACAGGGTCTCCTCGGGCCTCACACTTAAATTCTGCACTGTCATCCACAGTCACTGCCAAGTTACTAGGTCTCTTCACAAAGGATGGTCTCTCTAAAATTAGAAAGAGCCATCTCAAGATAAAACACTTTAGATGTTCAGTGAGAAAAGGTTTATAATTCAAAATATTGTTTAGAAAATTACTTCGCATAGTTTCCAACTTCTAGAGACTTCTCCCCATCTTTAATATTTCCTTCTACTTCTTTTTCCACATCTTTGGCTATTTTATATCAGGTCACTTCACTTCTCTTTCTACCCCCAAAACAATGATATAAGAATATTTCTCTCTTATATAAAGATCATTTGTATTTTGATTAAATATTATTTCATTCTCCCTTGTACAAAAATATAATAATGACAAAAATAATGATGATAATAAGAAGAAGGCTGTACAGTAGTAAGAAGAATAGATACAACGGCACTTACCTAAAACAGTGAGCTCTGCTACTTCACTCTCACGTTCCCCGACCATATTGGTCCCAACACAAACGTATTTGCCAGCATCACTTTTACGGGTGTAAGTAATCATTAGCTTTCCTCCTCGTATCTTAAAAAAAGAAAAAGTTTGACATATATACCATTAAAAGAATTTTAGCTATGGTTTTGTGGCCGGTCTTCATAAATGAATTCCACTCAAAGCTATATACCAAAGCCTAGTTATATCAAACAGCTGGTGTGTACCATTTGCTATTTTTATAGGTAGTAACTTTAAACAGAGTAAATTCCAAAAATATAATATAAAAGGAAAACATGTTGCATTACCTACATTTCTTGTAAAATTTTTATATTCTGTCTAACTATGCTTGTGTTTCAAATCAACCAAATTCTTTCCTATAAATTAATTAAGTGGAAACCACAAAGGCACTGCTTGAATAACTTGATTAGCAAGTGCAAGAAAGAAAAAGGAGTCTTACTATCATATTAGTACATGTAATATGTAAATGTATTTAAGCAATAATTGATTTCAGGGAAGAATATTTTAATATTGTTGTATGTGTAAAAAAAATTCTCTAGTAAGTTTTCTAGAGTTTTCTTAAAGAAATATATCTTATTTTCCAAAATGTAATAAAATCTGCCATTTTCTAAAAAAATTATATATATGTGTATGTGCATATATATATTTTTTCAAATATATTTATATATATGTAGATGTAGATATATCTCTCTCCCAAGCAGTTTCTTGATAACTTAAGAGGCACAGACTGAACAGATCTCAATCAATCATTTGGAAAGACTATATCATGTTCAGATATAGTCTTGAACATTAATTGAATAATTACAAATATAAACAAACATCCAGTACGAAAAGTAGACTGAAGTCAAATATGAATTATGATTTGGATGCAGAAATTGGACTGGATTTATTTAATGTAATTTATTTAATGTTATACACTTTCAGTTGGGAAGTTGAGTTCAGTTACCCATGAATATCTATAATGTCCCAAACCCTGGAAAGGCTTTACAAAGATAACTTCTAGAATGTTTATTCATGAAGGTTTTAACCTCACATTTGCTCCTCTTTATGATGAGCAGATTGAACAAAGGAGAAAAGAAATATAGAAACAATGAAGGAGGATAGAAGAGAGGGAGAAAGGGAAGAAGGAAGGAAACATTCAAACACTTTTTTCATTATGCCTAATAAAATTTTATTGAAATCTCTACTTTATAAAAGTTTTACTATTTTGGAAGGTCTGAATTATTTCAATGTAGAAAATCAAACTAAATATTTTGGTTGTATAAGAACAAACCAAATATTAACAGAGAGGTTTTAATTTCTGTGGTTTTAAAATTTAGTATTTTTTCAATAGTTTATAAACAAATGATGAGATGCTCTAAGGTTCCACTGTAAATATCATCCTGGTATTTTTTCTTTGCATTGTTCATTATCTATCCTTCATATCTGAAATAATACCTGCATACAATAATCATGAGATGTGTGTTGACTAGAAACTACTATTATAGGTAAAATCTAGTTATTTATCCAATTTGATATATTTTATAAGGGTTTATATATGTTAAAATATACCAAAGTTTCCTTATACATTCATATACTGAAGGGCATCTAGGTTGGTTCCACAATTTCACTATTGTGAATTGTTCTGCTATAAACATTGATATGGCTATGTCCCTGTAGTATGCTCTTCTAAGTCCTTTGGGTACAAACGGAGGAGTGGGAAAACTGGGTGGAATGGGGGTTCCATTACAAATTTTCCAAGGAATCTCCATACTGCTTTCCAAATTGGCTGCACTAATTTTCAGTCCCACCAGCAATGTATGAGTGTGCCTTTTCCCCCACATCCTCACCAACACTTGTTGTTGTTTGTATTCTTAATAGCTGCCATTCTGACTGGAGTGAGATGAAATCTTAGTTTGATTTGCATTTGTCTAATTGCTAGAGATGTTGAACATTTTCTCATATATTTGTTGATTGATTGTATATCCTCTTCTGAGAAGTGTCTGTTCAGTTTCTTGGCCCCTTTATTGATTGGGTTTGATTTTTTGTTGTTAAGGTTTTTGAGTTCTTTATATACCCTAGAGACTAGTGCTCTGTCTGATGTGTGGAACATTACTCAGCATTAAAAGAGAATAAAATCATGGCATTTGCAGGTAAATGGACAAAGTTGGAGAATTCCAAGTGAATCAGGCCAATCCTAAAAAAACAAAAGCCAAATGTTTTCTTTGATGTGAGTATGCTGATTCATAATGGTGATGGTGTAGGAGGAGCATCGGAGGAATGGAGGAACTTTAGACAGGGCAAAGGGGAGGAAGGGGAAAGAAAGTGTCAAAGGGGTAGGAATGATGGTGGAATGAGTTAGACATTATTACCTTAAGTACATGTATGAAGACACGAACGGTGTGAAAATACTTTGTGTTCAATCAGTGACTTGAGAAATCGTGCTCTATATGTGCATTATGAAAGGAATTGCATTCTGCCATCATGTATAACAAATTACAATAAATAAATAATTTAAAAAAATGTTAAAATATATAATCATAATTTCATTGCTTTCATATGTGTTTAAATTTTTGAATAAATCAGGGAAGAAAATATGTCACACTAAAAAGAAAAAAAAAACTTCCAGAGCTAATTATTATCGATGTTTTGTGATCTTTCTTTTTAGCTTTCTCTCCGCATGTGTGTGCATATATATATATGTATACATATATATATATATATATATATGTGTGCTCACACATATACAAGTATTCACACATGTAGTATATGCACACAGGCAATAAGATATGCATAAACATATATACATATGAACATATGTACATATTAAAATTCTATTTTACTAAAATAGAATCATGTGGTCTTCTGTGACCTGAAATTTCAATGAAAATGAGGAGACTTTTACATTTTAATTGCTAAAAATATAGAACAGATATTCAGCATTAATTTAAATGGCTACATAGTATTCATTGTATGGTTTTACATACTTTGTCAAATTTTTCCCCTACTGATAGATATTTAAAATGTTCCCATGTTTCCTCTCATAAACAGCACTGAAATCAGCATCAGCATTACATGTCTGTGTGTTTCTTATGTGTGCAATCATCTCAGAAAATCTTGGAAGTAGGATTCTTAAATAAAATGAAAACCCAGCTTGAGACTCTTGGTTCTTGGTGCCACCTATTTTTTTTCAGGAGATGCTTTTGGTGTAAACATATCATTTTAAGTATTGGTCTTTAGTGAAATCCCACAGTTAGACTGGCAGCAAATGTGTTATAATACTCTCATTTCTCACTAAAGGGATCAGCAGCTCAGCAAACTGCAACCTTACCTCTCACTCACCTCCACTGTGTTCATCATTACAACATGTTCTAATTGTGCTTTTAAATGTCAGATTTTCCTTCCTGACTGTGAATTACAAGGCAGAGGAGCATATCTAATTCTTCTTCATAGCCTCAGAACCTGTCACCATGCCTAGTAAACAGTAAGAATTTTCTGGGAGGAAAGTGACTTGTCTGATGTCACATAACAAGTTGGAACAGGGCTAAGATTCTAGGCAAGATATGGGTCTCTGGTTATGTGAGTTGGACAGATGACAATACATGCACAGCCCACAATCCTGTTATCATCATTACTTTTTAATAAGTTTGAGTTTAATAAACTTGAATGCTTGAGAGTCAGAACAATTTGAGTATCATAAAATCAAGACCTTCCAACGAAGACCCACTATCACCTTTCATCATGTACTTATTTTGTAACATTTACATAAACATTTCTAAATATTCTGAAGAAACAAACTCATTATAGCTAAAAGAAGAGTGAAAAAACCCCAGTACTGAAAGACCCCAGTACTGATCTGAGATGTGGTCCTAGATGTACTTTTTTAATATTTTTTTTTAGTTATAGTTGGACACAATACTTTTATTTTATTTATTTATATTTACGTGGTGCTGAGAATCAAACCCAGCGCCTCGCATGTTCTAGGCAAGCACTCCCCTGCTGAGCTACAACCCCAGCCCCTAGATGTACTTTTTTGGTTCTGTATCTTGGACAACACATTCAGCTTCCTTCTCTGCCTCAGAATCTAACCTTGAATGTCGTAGTATGTTTAGGAAACTGATTCATTTCAGAAGGAATTACACAATAATAGATAAAAGAGATAGGAAAAACAGAGGAAACAAATGGTTTAAATATTATTTTTGTTCTTAAAATCAATAAGTCAAGGTATTTTATCTAAAATCAAATGCAAGGCTTTGGGAATAATTTTAAAACATATTTAAGTATGTTTTAAACATACGTACAAAATGAGAGCCAAAGGATAACAACATATAAATAATTTTCAACAGTACAGATTTATTTCTAAGCTTTTGTATAATATTTTACTAATTTACTTTTATAATTTTTAAATGCTTGGCAATGTCTAGTCTTGCTTATGCACACATGGGAATAACATTATTATTATAATACAGCCCAATGCTATTATATTTTGAAGGAATTCTTATAAATGGAGGAGGAGAATTTTGTTAGTAGGAGTTAAGAGAGGATTGCCTGGAGATTCTCAAGACATGGAACAATTCCAATTGTGAGATGAATGGTAGGAAACAATAATGAGATGAACCAAAACTCAAAGAGAGCTAAGAAATCCAAAAGACTTTGTAGTACACACCCTGTTATTACAGTCCTGACTGTAATAACTCAGCTCAATTATGGAAAAACTTGATAATTCATCTGATGAGGAGGCATGCTTTGGGAACACATATTGGTGTTTTTAGTATTTAATATAAATAGAAAAAAAAACTGTTTCTATTTTTTTATATAAATTTACTTTACAGTTATCATTTACAATTGAATTGTATCTAGTATGTAAATTAAAAGTAACCCACTAGAGCCAGGTGTTTTGGTGTACGCCTGTAATCCCAGCAGGTAAGGAGGCTGAGGCAGGAGGATCTCGAGTTGAAAGCCAGCCTCAGCAAAAGTGAGGTGCTAAGCAACTCGGTGAGACCCTGTCTCTAAATAAAATACAAAATAGGACTGAGGATGTGGCTCGGTGGTCAAGTGCCCCTGAGTTCAATCCTCAGTACCCCACCCCACCC